TCCATTCTCCTCTTGGGATCTTGGGCACACATGCAAATGCAACCGGCATGAGTTTAAGCCACTGGGTCCAGGACTCGAGCCGTGGTGGGCTACGTGGGAGTCCAGCAACATAGCCATTATGCTAACTGCTGGTCCTGGTCTGTAATTTTTTTGTTGTTGTTATTATAGTCTGTTTGGAAATGAGGGTGATGGAGGCTTTATGAAATTGCCAAAGCAATTCTGTGTAAAAAGAGTGGAGTAGGAGGTATCTCACTCCCTGACTTCAAAATATATTACAAATCTGGGATAATCAAAACAGCATAGTTTTGGCACAAATACAGGCATGTGGACCAGTGAAACAGAATAGAGATGCCAGAAATAAATCCCTAAATATACAGCCAACTGATATTTAACAAAGAACGCCAGTCAATCCAATGAGGGTAAGAAAGTTATTTAGCAAATAATGCTGGAAAAATTGGGTAACCACCTGTGGAAAGAAGAAACTGGATCCCTATCTTTCACCAATAACAAATATCAACTCAAAATGGATCAAAGATCTAAACCTAAGACCACAAACTATAAAACTACTAGTAGAAAACAGAGGGGAAACTCTTGGAGACACAGAAATATGCAAAGCCTTCTTAAACAAGACCCCCAGAGCACAGGTAATAATCCCCAAAATAGACAAGTGGGACTACATCTGGTTAAAAAGTTTCTGCACAGTGAAAGAAACAACAATTAGAGTGAATCAACAACCTTTTGGAATGGGAGAATGTATTTGCAAACTATATATATATATATATATATAGGAGAGATTTTTGTTACAGGGCGCATGCAATTGCCAGTAAGACTCAGAGAGACAGACAGATAGAAAGCAAGAAATCACCCCCCATGGGGGATGGCCACGCTGCAATCCCTTCTCTCCCATTCTCCTCTTGGGATCTTGGGCACGCACGCACACGTGCCTGGCATGAGTTTAAACCACGAGTTCCAGTACTTGAACCACAACTAGCTACCGGGGAGTCCAGTGACATAGCCATTATGCCAACTGCTTGTCTCAATAAAATATGTATTAAAATTTTTAAAGTAATATTAAGAAAGTGATGAAGTTAGAATGACAAACAGGACAGGGGGCAGGACCTGCAAGTTTTGGGTGATCATGGCCCTTTTACTTTAAATAAGATAAAAAGTCACTCGAGAGCTCAAGCAGAAGAGTTACATGGTCAGATTTATGTTCTAACAGTCATCCCATTTCTATATAGACTGAAATGGGACAAAGATAGAAACTTTAGCAATAAAGGGAATGGTAATAGCTGAGAGGGAAACAAGTTGCTGAATTCTGCATGTATTTTGAAGGTAGAGTTGAAAGGATTTGTTACAGGAGTATGAAAAAGAGAAGGCAAGGATGAGCTCAAAATGGTGACATGGGGAACCAGCAGTTAGCGTAATGGCTATGTCGCTGGACTCCCATGTAGTCGACCGCGGTTTGCGTCCCAGACCCGGTGGTTTAAAACTCACGCCGGGCACGTGTGTATGCGTGCCCAAGATCCCGAGAGGAGAATGGAGGAGAAGGGATTGCGGCGTGACCATCCCCCCTGCGGGGTGATTTCTCGCTTTCTGTCTCTATGTCTCTGTCTGTCTGGCGAGCGCACGCGTCTTATAGAGAAAATCTCTCAAAAAAAAAAATGGTGACATGAGCAAGCAGAGAATTGCAGCCACAAGTAACTGAGATAGAGGAGATACAGGAGACCCTCGTGTAAGACGCATATTAGACATCCAAATGAAGGTGAGACAGGTATTTGGCTACTCAGGACTACTCAGGGTAGTTTTTTAAGCCTTGAGATGAGAAAGCCTAGAAAATAAAAATGGACAGAAAATAGAGGTCCAAGGATGGAGTTCCAAGGCATTCCAACATCAGAACGAAGAGGAACCAGCAAGATGGACAACAAAGATGTGACAAAGCAAGAGTACAGAGTACGAGTCCCAGAAACTGAAGAAGGGAGAAATGGTCAAATGACTCTAATGTTGTTGTCATGTCAAGAAAGTGAAGTATTGTGACATGGCCAGTGGACTTGGCAATGTCGAGGTCACTGGGGATCTTACCAAGGTCAGTTTCAGTGGAGTAATGGAGGTGAAAACATGGCAAGAAATGAGTCAAGACAGAAGGTGTTGTATTCTGTTGTGTTGCTATAACAACAATACCTGAGTCTGGGTGATTTGTAAAGAATCGAGATTTATTTAGCTTATGATGTTAGAGGTCCAAGGTCAAGGGTCTGCATCAGTCAGGGTCTTCTTATTGGAGGAGCCTCTGTAGAGTTCTAAGGTGACACAGGGCATCATGCGGTAACACAGCAAGAGTTTGTGTATGTCTGTTCTGGTTGCTCTTCCTCTTCTTACAAAACCACTAGAATTCAATCACAGGCCCCTCACTCTGATTATTTTAATCCTAACCGCTTCCTAAAGGCCCCACATCTGAATATAATTGAATTAACTTTGCACCGTCTTAGTATTATTATCATGGCAGTTAAGTTTCCAACACACCTTTGAAGAACACTTTCAAACAATTGCAGAAAAAGTTCTTTCAAGGAGGTTTACGCTGAAGGAAAAGAGTAAAATAGAATGGCAACTGGAAGGGGTTGGTAGACCTGTGAGGTAGTACTATTATTACCATCTGACCAACAGCTCATATATCAAACCAAATTTCCCAAGATTTAAAAACAAAACAAAACAAAAAAAGCATGTGGTTAGAGTTCATTATTCTGATCTTAGAGTCCGCATTCTTAACTTACACACTATAAGAAAGGGATGAATGCAAGATATTCTTTTATCAAGCTATTTATAGGAACTAGCCAGGCTTGTAGACAGCTGTAGCCAAAAGAAAACTGTGAGATGCATAAAGAGAGCAGGCTATTAGTCTTAGTTCCAAATAGTCTGTATACTATTTGTCATTTCTAGAGCCTTTGCACATTAATTTAATTGGAATTCTAAAGGGAGAAAATGAGTATCTTTTCTACAAATATTAGCTTCTCATTAGAGAAAGTTCTTTCTATCCAGGTCCACTCTTGCAAGGGAGGTAAAGTCAGTATCTCTTGAGATTTTAAATAGTTATTCACAGAAATTTTGTACGTGGACTGACCTATTTCATCACATATTCATTTATTCACACATTCACTCAACAAACATTGAGTGCCTCCTATGTACAAGGTTCTCTTCTAGGAGCTGAGGATAACATGATGAACAGAAGACACAAGGTCTTAGTTCTATGGTAAAGGAGACAGACATTTCGAAATGTAAGTAATAAATGGGATTTCAGATGATGATAACTATCACAAAGACAAAAATATTAAATGGCATAGAGTATATCAGTGAGGGCTACTTTGAACAGATGGTAAAGGAAGCTTTCTCTGGGTTAATGACATTGATTGGAACTAAATGAAGAAAAGGAGCCAGAAGGTCTATAGAAAGCTGGGCCCAGAAAGAGAACAGTGAGTAAAAGTCCTTCTCTTAGGCCTCAAAAGAACAGTTTAGGAAGTCTGAAGTACAGTAAGAATAGAACAGTGAACTCTAGAAGTCAACGGAGCAGTTGATCCAAATCCTGCAAAGTGCAAATTTTATTCTAAGCATGATCAGAAATTATTGGAGCTCTTTACCAGAGATCTGGCCTTTAGTGCCAGGTGAATTTTAAAGGATGAGGCTGGCAATCAAGAATCCAATTAACAAACCACGAACGTAGCCTTACAAGAGGTGATGGTGGCTGTTTGGACTAGGCTGGTACCTGGAAGGGATGCTGGGTCTAGAAACCCGTGCCATGAGAAAACTGTAATCTGAAGAATTCACACAATATTTTGAGGTAGAGTTGATGAAATTTGTTGATGGACTGGATAAGAGAGTGCAAAGAACGGCAATGAGTGATTACAAGAGAGAAACAAAGGATGACCACCAAGATTTCTGCTAAAAACATCTGAAGAGGTGGGTATGCCATCTACTGACAGGGCATGGTCTGAGAAAGCAGTAGGATTCGAATGGGATTGGACAAAAGGAATCACAAGATCCTATTAAACATCTTGGTGAAGACATTTACTAAGCAGTTCCATGTGTTGCTGGGAAAAGGGAGACATTTCACTTCAGATTCATCAAGTCCCACCATTCAGAAAGTTATCCTCTATCAAACTGGCACGAAATGATCTCACCATCTTTTGAGATCTATGACACTTATGCAAACTTTTCCTTGGGCAAGCGTATTTGATCATCTACTGCTTTACGGCCATTTTTGCAGACATTTTGTGTTCTATTCTTATTTTTAATATGAGTTCTAAATTAGAAACCAAGGGTTTTCTAGTTCGACTTGGGAGATGGATGGACTTCACTTATTCACTAAGGGGGCTATGTCCTCATCTATTAATCAAGAGGGTTAGGCGAGTTATCCTAAAACAACACCAGTATGTGGGTTTATTTCATAATTCCTCAACTCACTGGAATCAAAGTCTATGACTTCTACAGCCCTAGGACAGGAAGCGCACAAAGCACGCCTGCGCTGGGCCCTGGATATATGTGTCCACTGGTACGCAGTCTGGAATAGTCACCAGCTTGATACACTTTGTTGAGCATGAGGTTTTCTTCCCATAATCGACACATCTCGTCTTGATCGTTATGGTAAATTTAAAATAAAAGGTCATGTGGTCCTTGCCATTGTCTTCCCTTCCAGAAACCGATATTCCAAGACATCACCAATGACCACCACTCCATCCTGCCTCATTCCCAAGTAACCAGGAAGCATTATAATTCACCAATTTAAAAGTTTGAAGACTTTTTAAGATAGTCATTTAAAAATCTCCGAGGAACAAAACCCAGCATCTCCAGGAGTGAGAGGCCCAGGCTGGGAAGAGCCGGCTCTCCCTCCCACTTGGTGACCTACTCAAAGACCCCACTGCCCCCTCGAGTCCCTGCACCGTCCTCTGCCCCAGACCCTCGCAGTCTGGGAAAAGGGCCCCATTTGGGGGCGCAGGGAGCCCGTCCTTTACCTGGCGGGTAATACCGGAGCAGGAGGCTCTTGAGCTTCATAGTCTCGCTCTCAGATCCCCTGCAGATGGGCTTCGTAGCCATGGAAACGGCCAAACAGTAGCAGGAAGCAGACACGCATGCGCACCATTCCTGGGCGGCGGAGGGGGGTGCCTGCTCCGCTGGATGCTGGGCTCAGCCAGCTTTGTAGGCGGCACCCGGGGGTTCAGGGCGGAGCCCTGGGAGACCGATCTCACGGTGCCTGGGATGGACAGGGGCGAGGTCCCCTCGTGTCCTAACTAGAGTGACTTCACTTGAGCGAGGAACAGCCTGGGCCGCGGGCGCTTTAACATACTCAGCCTCCAATAAGGAGGTGTGGGAGAAAAATCGTGCTCTCGTTACCACTCCCGAACTCTCCCTGTGCCCTGTCCCGGTCCCCACAGAAGGAAAGCTCACCGTATTAACTACATGGCCAGATGCTGTCCGTTTGCTAGGCTAAGAGGTTTAGACAGCAATGATCACGAAGGCCAGCAAAGGGAGCAGTTAGGCCCCTCTTCCATCATCCTGTCCCAAGGGTGAGCTAACTGAGAAGCAGAGGAAGGGAAGATCTCCCCAAGGTCGCGGCCTAATGAACGGAGGCAGGATGGGAAGGCAAGCCTGTAGGAAGCCTGTACTCAAGCCTGTTCTTGTGCTCTCGTCCTGGGTTTCAGGCCTTGAGGTCTTCATGCTTTATTTCTTGTAGACATTGGTTCTTTATCTGCCTAGTCCATCAGGAGGCCTGCAGAGAGAAGAGTCAGCCAGCCAGCTTGTCAATTTCCTTTAAGGAATTTGGCCCAAGATGGTATTTCCCAAATTTAAATGATTCTGTGTTGTCTTCACAATTATTGACCACTTCCCCTCCACCTCCGTATCTCCATACCTGAGACTTGTTTTTAAGAGCTTAAAGTTTCCTAAATTGATTCCCTTAACATACTTCACTTTTCAAAAGGTAACTTAAGAAAATCATTACTACTGTAAATAAAACGTTAATATAATTTTCAATTAAAATAAATGTAACTTTTTAAAAAGCTATTGAACTATTATAATAAAGACTGTTGCCTGCAAAAATAAAACTTTTGAACCCAAGACCTTCCCTTTCTTTGTTAAAAAGAAAAGAGAGGAACCAGCAGTTAGCGTAATGGCTATGTCACTGGACTCCCATGTAGTCGACCGCGGTTCGCGTCCCAGACCCTGTGGCTTAAACTCACGCCAGGTGCGTATGCGTGCGTGCCCAAGATCCCGAGAGGAGGACGGAGGAGAAGGGGTTGTGGCATGGCCATTCTCCCTGGGGGGGTGATTTCTCGCTTTCTGTTTCTCTCTCTCTCTCTGTCTGGCAAGTGCACAGTACCCTATAGCAAAAAAAAGAAGAAAGAAAGAAAGAAAGAAAGAAAGAAAGAAAGAAAGA